TTCATAAGTGTACGTGGTACCAGAGCACCCTAGGCCAAAGATCAATGATCGATTTTGTAATCGTATCGTCTGATCTGAGGCCGCATGTTCTGGACACTCGGGTAAAGAGAGGGGCAGAGCTGTCAACTGATCACCATCTGGTTGTGAGCTGGGTCAGAGGATGGGGGAAGACTCGGGACAGACCCGGTAAACCCAAGCGTGTAGTGAGGGTGAACTGGGAACGTCTGGAGGAGGCCCCGGTCCAAAAGATTTTCAACTCACACCTCCGGCGGAGCTTCTCTCACATTCCTGTGGAGGTAGGGGACATTGAACCAGAGTGGTCTATGTTCAAAACCTCCATTGCTGAAGCCGCGGCGGTGAGTTGTGGCCTCAAGGTCTTAGGTGCATCAAGGGGCGGTAACCCTCGAACTCCGTGGTGGACACCGGTGGTCAGGGAAGCCGTCCGACTGAAGAAGGAGGCCTTCCGAGTTATGATATCCGGTGGGACTCCAGAGGCAGTTGCAGTGTACCGACAGGCTCGAAGGGCAGCAGCCTCTGCCGTGATGGAGGCAAAGCAGCGAGTATGGGAGGAGTTCGGGGTAACTATGGAGAAGGACTTTCGGTCGGCACCAAAGTGTTTTTGGAAGACCATCCGGCACCTCAGGAGGGGGAAACGGGGAACCATCCAAGCTGTGTACAGTAAGGATGGGACCCTGTTGACCGCGACTGAGGAGGTTATCGGGCGGTGGAAGGAACACTTTGAGGAACTCCTGAATCCAACTACTACGCCCTCTTTGGTGGAGGCGGAGCTGGAGGCGGAGGAGGGATCATCGTCAATTAGCCTGGTGGAAGTCACTGAGGTAGTCAAACAACTCCGCAGTGGCAAAGCCCCGGGGATTGATGAGATCCTTCCAGAGATGCTAAAAGCAATGGGTGTTGGGGGGTTGTCTTGGATGACACGCCTCTTCAACATTGCGTGGAAGTCTGGGACAGTGCCAAAAGAGTGGCAGATCGGGGTGGTGGTACCCCTCTTTAAAAAGGGGGACCAGAGAGTGTGTGCCAATTACAGGGGTATCAGACTACTCAGCCTCCCGGGTAAAGTCTACTCTAAGGTGCTGGAAAGGAGGGTTCGGCCGATAGTCGAACCAAGGATTGAAGAGGAACAATGCGGTTTTCGTCCTGGTCGTGGAACAACGGACCAGCTCTTCACTCTTTCCAGGATCATAGAGGGGGCTTGGGAGTATGCTCAACCAGTCTACATGTGTTTTGTGGACTTGGAGAAGGCGTATGACCGGGTCCCCCGAGAGATACTGTGGGAGGTGCTGCGGGGTGAGGGGGTCCTTGCTTGGGGCCATCCAATCCTTGTACGCCCAAAGCGAGAGCTGTGTTCGGGTGCTCGGCAGTAAGGCGAAGGCGTTTCCGGTGGGGGTTGGCCTTCGCCAGGTCTGCGCCTTGTCACCAATCTTGTTTGTGGTCTTCATGGACAGGATATCGAGGCGTAGTCGGGGGGAGGAGGGTCTACAGTTCGGGGGGCTGCGGATCTCATCGCTGCTTTTTGCAGATGATGTGGTTCTGATGGCATCTTCCGTCTGTGACCTCCAACTCTCACTGGAGCGTTTCGCAGTCGAGTGTGAAGCGGTCGGGATGAGGATTAGCACCTCTAAATCTGAGGCCATGGTTCTCAGCAGGAAACCGATGGATTGCCTACTCCAGGTAGGGAATGTGTCCTTACCCCAAGTGAAGGAGTTCAAGTACCTCGGGGTCTTGTTCACGAGTGAGGGGAAGATGGAGTGTGAGTTTGGCCGGAGAATCGGAGCAGCGGGGGCGGTATTGCACTCGCTTTACCGCACCGTTGTGACGAAAAGAGAGCTGAGCCGGAAGGCAAAGCTCTCGATCTACCGGTCAATCTTCGTTCCTACCCTCACCTATGGTCATGAAGGATGGGTCATGACCGAAAGAACTAGGTCACGGGTACAAGCGGCCGAAATGGGTTTCCTCAGGAGAGTGGCTGGCGTCTCCCTTAGGGATAGGGTGAGAAGCTCAGCCATTCGCGAGGAGCTCGGAGTAGAGCCGCTGCTCCTTTGCGTCGAAAGGAGCCAGTTGAGGTGGTTTGGGCATCTGGTGAGGATGCCCCCTGGGCGCCTCCCTAGGGAGGTGTTTCAGGCACGGCCAGCTGGGAAGAGGCCCCGGGGAAGACCCAGGACTAGGTGGAGAGATTATATCTCTGCACTGGCCTGGGAACGCCTTGGGATCCCCCAGTCAGAGCTGGTAGATGTGGCCCGGGAAAGGGAAGTTTGGGGTCCCCTGCTGGAGCTGTTGCCCCCGCGACCCGACCCCGGATAAGCGGTTGAAGATGGATGGATGGATGGATGGATTTCAATATGTGTTAATGCCTCTCGGGGACTCGGGGAATAATTAAAATGGCTCTAGTATGCTACGTATAATCAGAGCTGGGGCAATTAGTTCGATAGCCGCAAAGTATGAAATTAAAGAAAGAAATGTAAAACTCTGATTCCACCTTCTCAAACATATTATCTTTTAATCACTTAATTCCTCAATAAAAATATACAAAGACATTTGAGGACATTATCTTGCAATATAGACTATTAAAAACGTTTCCCTATTTCAAGTGTTAACTATTCAACTGATAAAGAAACACAAACAAAAAATACATCAACAATTTCAAAAATGATATGATCCACAAAATACAATGTAAATGTTCTTATTAATAAATTGAAAAGATCTACGTATGTCATATACATATGCAGTATAGTTATGTAGTCTGTTAGCTATGTTACATTATTTTTAACTTACCAAACACAATGCAGATAAGGAGGATGCTCTGTTGTCTAAGAGAGGAAACAATATGACAAACTGACATTAAGAAGGTTCAAACTTTCAGCCTTTAAACACTATAGGAAATTATTACATACAGAGAGAAGTAGATTACCGCTGTTCCATATTACCAACATAGTTAATTAACGTTAACGTTAGTTAATTATGTTTCTCAAAAGACAAACTACTTTAAATGCTATTGACATCGGATTTGTAATTTATCCATAATTCAGACATGAATGGAGGAGTGAAATATTCCCATGGTTACCACATGCTAACTTCTACGTAATGCTAAAAATAGGCTGACGTGGCAATTTCATCAGTTGGCTGACTAATTTGGCAGCGAGCAAAGTAACGCTAACCAGCTAACTAGTAGCTAACGCCAACAAACTAGTCAACACAAACTGACAAAACCCTTGAAATTTTAACCAATTTGTCAATGAACATACTTTAGGTCAGCATTATCTTGTGTTATAATGCTGTAGATGAAATGCAGCGCTCTGATTGGTTGACAGTGAGTCACGTGGTGCACATCATTGAGTGATGTACAGTTCTTGTTCCATATCACTGCGCACTAAGAGTAACGGTTTGACCGACCGTTAGTATCAGCAATGAGGTACTCGAGGCAGTACTTTATGTACAGCCTCTTGTACCTTATTGCTTAATAAACGTCACGAATGAATTTGAATCGCCTCCTTCCTTATAATGAACTATGACACTAATAGACGAAATATTTCCCTCATACGGCACACAAATGAACCCGTGACTTAACGTTAAACTACGATAACATAAAGGCTAACGCAGACTGTATCCATATTAACTGAAAAGTTAGTTAGCTAACCAAGTTAGTTACCAAACTGACCAGTTCATGCCAGTTCAGCACATAACTTAATACCGTTACATATTTGTCATACTAATGTGCTGCCAGCTTAGCGGCTATGCTATTGTTAGCCACGTTTTGCCGTTGTCATACACAGGGAATATTTCACTCTTTCTTTAGTGTACACATACTGCACGGGTTACAAACGGACGACAACGCCGTTTCACAACTATATAACTGTCATTACACCATCCAGAATATTAAATCTATAGTTGTCCTTTAAGAGCACTCGTATCATCAGCGAGATACTATAGTATAAGCTGATAAATTGACAACAAGATATGGTCAATACACGTGGTTAATTTTTTGAAATGTGAAAAGTTGATTAAGTAATGTTTTCCTAAGGCATGATATGAATTCACTAATGATTTTTTAGTACATTATATGAGACTAATTCGTGACACTATTACCTTGTTAAATCTAGTTTTGGAAATAGCAACATTAAGCTCCTACGCGGTGTATCAGGCAAACACTTACGTCAGCAGCCATTATATCCGACATCATCGGAGCGCTTTTGAACTCATCACTGTCAAAATCACTGTCAAAAAAACATATAAAAAATTTGCGGCCAAAAGTCCGTCTCGCGCAAGCAAAAGTTGGTGATTTGCCTCAGTCTTGTGAAAGCTGACAGAGAGGTAAGTTTGTTCCTCTCTAAATGAGATAAGAAAATGAAGAATATGAAGAATAACTGACATGAATTGAGTATTTATATTGTATAACCCTATAAGTATAACCATTTTTAATAAAAGAAACAATTAAGTGACTAGAGTTGTTTAAAATGTTTAAGCTAGCGGTTAGATAGAGTATCTTGGTTAGCAAAAGGGATTTCCAAATAGTGGTCATCAATTTTTGAATGCAGTTTAGCGTTTTAGGCAAACGTAATGCTCTCTTTAATACAAGATATTAACCTAATACGTTTGTGATAACGATATACTAATGAAGCAACACAATATGAAATAAAAGAAACGTTTTAGAAAATAATGTGTACTAACCTACTACATAGCTTTTTCTTAATGCTTTGTGTTTATTTTAATATTTCAGAATGGCCTTAAAGACGCTTTTGACGACGAAGCCTCCAACACCCTATTTTCGCCCCCCGCCAATCCACCTATGTGTGGTGTTGGTGGTGGAGAAGCCCAGGGTGGTGGCCTGGGAGTTTGACTCAAATGGTGCGAGACCAGCACAGACAAAAATGAATATTCTGGCCGCACTAACCGATGGAGATTCAGTGGCCAAAGTCACTGTATTCGAGGAGTTTGGCAAAAGACTTAAGGAGGGTGGGAGTTATAATGTAAAGAGGGCAGTCCCCCCCATATCAATTAAATATAACTAAGGACACGCTGTTCTTTAGGAGCGCTCCTATAGCGCTCAGCGCAGCGCTCAAACGGGAAGCAGAGCTTCTAATACACCCCCCCTCTCCACTGACTCCGCTGAGCACCTGCCGGGAAGCCAGGGGCCTGATAACCGTGGAGGGCGAGGTGGTCGAGGTAAATTAAGTTTCAGCCTACGGTGGTTTAAAAAGGAAACAGGTTTAATATTAGCTGCAAATTGGTATAAAATGTCAATTAACTGAAAGATCCATTTTGTTCAGCTGTCAGCTTTAAAAGAAATCACGACAGGGAGAGACGTCGTTCCATTGCGCAACGTCACGATGCAGCAGGTAGGCAGTCCACTTCATTCATACATACATATATATATAATAAAATACATTTAGATAGCTGAGTTATTACGCTACATATATCGTATGAAGGCAAATAACTGTCAAAAATCCAAATCCATATCAAACATTTGCGAGCAAAAAACTATGCTCACATGAAACATTTGCCAACTTTTGCTGCGCGAGATGGACTTTTGCCCGCGAACGTTTGATATGGATTTATTTTGACAGTGATTTGCCTTCATACGAGTCGTCAGACACATCATATATATATATATATATATATATATATATATATATATATATATATATATATATATATATATAATCTATATAGATAGAGAGAGAATTAAAGTAATTAAAATATTATTTCACATTACCTTCTACAGGGGGAATCACAGATGTCGCTGTGTTTCTGGAGGGAGGCGGCCGTATGGCAGCTGCAGGTGGGGCCCACATTAAAGTTTCCCATCTTAAAGCTGAGAGTTTAAACTATGGGCTCAGACTCCAGTCCACAAACTTTTCCACCATCGAGGTAGGCCTACTTGTTTTTTTATGAAATTGAAACAAACATTCACTTTTTAGATAATCTTTACACTATCTGGCTTCAACAGCAAAGTTTGATTGAGTGATGTTATGTTATTTAAAAAAAAAGTTGAATAAATTATAATGCAATGCCTCCGTGCTGGGGTTATTTTATTCTCCTGCTTAAAAACGATAATGATTGCTCTGGATTGCGGCTGACAGCGGGATAATGTCCACTTTTCTCTCAACAGGAGGTACGCTCAGAGGACATCGTGGGGGCACTCGGGGTGATAGAGATTGAGGGAGATCCGGGGAACCTCAACCTTCTCCTAGAAGACGGCCGTACCGTCTTAATTGAGGAGAGATTGTGGGAGCCAATCGAACTTGTTATGATCGAACCCGTAATAAAAGTTCAAATAAAAATGACAGGAAACAAGGTGCAGGCGATGGAAGTGGCGAAAAATTTAAATTTCTACTGTTATAAAATGTATATGTTTATAAGATTGTGTTCATAATGTATCAGTTATGTGTTCATTTTGTTTTGACTTGTTACTTATGTTCAATTGTTTTTTACGCTTGTTTATAATAATAATAATAATAATTTGTTGCAATAAATATTCAACCGTAGCCGTAGTTGTCCGTCACTGTTCATTTTGAATGCTGCATGTGACTTATTTTCAGTAGAGGTTTCTTATCCCTTTAGCAATGATGGCTGGTGGAACACTTCCTATAGGACCATCCAATCAATTTCAGCAAACATTCAAGTATTAGTTAATAAAAACAATTAAGGTATCAAAAGCATTAGTACCTTGCAGTTGGGTATAATTTATTCCAGCACTAAAAAAGCAGTAAATAACACTGACATCTGTGTCCTTCAAACTATGAAGTTATCAATCGATAGGCCTCATCAAAAAACACTACAGTAAAATTCCCTCCATGTTGGCATTGTGGAGGGTAGAAGGAGAGAGCACACTAGAGAGAGCAAAGGTGAAAGAGAGGGAGGGAGGAAGAGAGAAAGAAAAAGGGCGAGAGGGTGAGGAAGGAAGAGGGGGATGAATGGAAAGAGAGGAGGAGGAAGGGAGAAAGAGGGGAGAAAGAAAGAGGGTGAAGAAGGGAGAGGGGAATGAATGGAAAGAGAGGAGGAGGACGGGAGAAAGACATGATCACACGTGCCACTTTTTGTTGTTGTTGTTTTTTCCTTCCAAGAAAAAATACAACATTAAAAAAAAAAAAAAAAAGTAAAACTATGTAATCACCTGCTAAAAACGTGCAAATACCAGCTCGCCATTGACCACAGAACAAACAATGTCATTAAAACACCAGCGCTGTTTAAAAGCGTCCATTAGAGCCTTGCTCTAATGTTGCACAGGCATATCACTTTTGCCTCCTGCCCCTCTCGGTTCTCCTCTCTGTTTTTTCTGCTTAAATAAATTGCCATTTTTGCCTCTCCGCACAGAAAGTTAAGGAGCTGCCATTTTTCTTTTTCCGTTTTCTTGTAGGCAGCTCCCATAATAAAAACCCTTTCCGTAAAAAACACGCTAAAAAGACTAAAAACCAATGTTAAAAGAGAGAAGAAACCTGCGAGTCGCTTACACTCAGTAAAAACATGATAAATAGTCTCTCTGAGCTCATAGACTGGCCGGTGAGATCCCCTAGCCCCGGACTCAGGTAGATCTCTGGAAATGGGTCTGCAGGGTCCGGTATCATCTTCTTCTGGCTGTATTCCATGAGGAGGCTCTTTTCTTCCCCCGTCAGCCTTTGGCTCCACAGTTCCAGGAGCCTCCCCGCCCCCCGGACCAAATGCAGCCCAAGCAGTGAGCCCAGGGCCGGGGCATCGCTCAGCGTCGGCCCCACTGCGTCCACCGGCTGGTGCAGGCACAATGTTCTTGTTTTTCGCAGCGCCCCCGTCAGGTCAGGGGTGACGCTGCTGCTGACGTCCAACTTGGCCCTGCAAATCAATGGTTCTCTCAACAACCAGTACAAAGAGATAGACAGTGGACATCGTTTTTGAATAAAAAGGGCCCAACACTTAAAAACGCCCTGATAAAACAGAGGCAGCCCTTTTATATTTAAAATATTGGGATCCATTAAAAACAGCAGTATCCAGCCCCAGGTTGTCTGTACGTCTGAGGATACAAGTGGCCACATCTCGCCACACTAAACCCTCCGGACATGTGAGGTAACTTTTCAAAAACTGTAACCTTAAAGTGGCCGTCCAGCTGGCCAAGTGGACAAGGCCCTGTCCCCCCTCCTCTCTGGCTCAAAACAGCACCCCTTGTGGCACCCAGTGTAGACCCTCCCTTAAGAAATCTACCATCTTTCGTTGTATGTTGGATAGAAACCCAGAGGGTGGGTCTAGGCAGGTTAAGCGGTGCCACAAATGAGATGCAATGAGATTGTTTAAAACCAACACTCTACCTTTAAAAGACATCTGAGGGAGCAGCCATTTCCATTTTACAAGTTTTCCCTCTATCTTCTCTGTGACGCCCTCCCAGTTCTTTTGGACCATGTCTCTTTGTCCCAGATAGATCCCCAGGTATTTAAAACCGTCTTTTCTCCAAACTAACCTTTGGGGAAGAACCGGGAGGCCGTCACGCCATTCACCGACAGCAAGGGCTTCGCTTTTCCTCCAGTTCACCCTCGCTGCCTTGCTAAAATCCTCCACCATGCTGTTTAAAAGGTCTGCATCCCTCTGGTCCTTAATAAAAACAACAACATCATCTGCATAAGCTGATATGTTCCTACTAAAACCAGGTAAAACCAAGCCCTCCAGGCTAGAGCGTATTCTGCTGAGAAGGGGTTCCAGGGAGAGTGCATAGAGCATTCCGGACAGGGCACAACCCTGCCGGACCCCTCTACGCACCCTTAAAGGAGCGCACAGACTACCGTTTATCTTCAGCACACTCTCAACCTCGCTTTACAACACTTTGATCTTAGCTATGAAACCAGCGCTGAACCCAAACTTCCCCATGACCTTCCAGAGGAAGCTGTGCTCAACGCGGTCAAAAGCCTTTCCCTGGTCTAGAGAAATCAGACCAGTATTAATACCTAACGAGCTGGCGACCTCCAAAACATCTCGAATGAGGTAGACATTGTCTACCATGGACCTGCCGGGCACACAGTAGGTCTGGTCCCGATGGATGACCTGCTCCATAGCTTCCCTCAGCCTGGAGGCAAAGACCCTGGACAGAAGCTTGTAATCCACGCACAGTAGAGACACAGGGCGCCAGTTGCCGATGTCCTGCAGGTTCCCCTTCGGCAGTAGTGTTATCACCGTTCTGCGGCAGGACATCGGCATGGAACTAGAGGCCAGACTCTCATTAAAAACCTCCAGGACATCAGGTGCGAATATTTCCCAGAATGTTAAAAAAATATAATTGGCCAAAGGGCAATTTTGCACGTCCCGGGGCAGCGCGGGGGAAATATAACATTGTGTGCTGCCATAAGTCTTCGAGGGCTACTGCACCATCATGCCAAACTGGGTCCCTATAATGCGCAACACATAATCACATTTCTAGATGCACTTCATAATGCAATTGTACAAGATGGACCAGATCAGCCCAGGTTTGTTGTTGTCTGGGAGAATGTTAGTTTCCATCGGGCTGCTCTGGTCCAGAACTGGTTCACCAACCATGATCAATTTGAAGTTGTGTACTTGCCCCCTTACTCGCCATTTCTAAATCCTATAGAGGAATTTTTTTTTTTTTCGCTTGGAGATGGTACGTATATGACCGCCAACCCCATGGCCGTATGCCTCTTCTGCAGGCAATGGAACAGGCCTGCGGAGACATTGAGGTGAGGTCAAGTAGACTAGTGTGTTGCTGCTGATCTGAATGTGTATTCAAATGATGCATGTATGTGTCATTTTGTCATCAGAGTTACATTTTGACAAAGGAATGTTAGGTTTTGATAGTACAGTTTCAATTTGACACAGATGTGAATGGTATATTTCTCAGTGTTGTGTCATGTTTACTTGTGTGTAGAGTTTTGGCACAATGAGCGAAATTTTACAAAATGTGTTCAAGCAATGGGCAAAAACTGTAACTTGTATGCAATGATTTGTTTCATGTATAGAATATGGCTATTTGAACTCTAACCATAAGATATTACAGAATACAAGCTACAGTATCTGAATGTCAGCACACACGTCATTCTCCTTGTGTTATGCTGCTTCTCCATAAAACACAACTAAATGTAAACTTAGTTTATAATCACACCCCTAAACTAAATGTATATAGATAATAATTACACCACAACACAAAAGGAGCAAAGTTCACCCCAGTTCAGTTTCTTTGTGTATTTATTCAACATTTGTTAAGTTACTGATTTGGAAAGTGAAACAGTCACAACCTTAGATATTAGTTAACCTCTAAAGTATAAACGATAAGGCATTAAAGTGACTTTCCACTAATATCTACGGGCATCCCCACTAATATTGTTAGCTATTAGTCATAGTAGTAAAATGAGTAGTAGTTGTAGTATTCATAGCCGTAGAAATAGTAGTATTGATACCGAAACTCTTCCAGTTACTGATTAAAGGTAGTGTTTTTCAACCTGTATTGCCATTAAAACTATAACAATATTAATGGCCATCTAGAGTAAATTGATTTGACCAAAATGAATGAATGAATATGTTTAATATTATTTTTTTTATGTTTTGCTTGGAAGAATTTGTCGGGGCCTGAGCGGCAGTCATAGCAGGTTAGAAGAGAGCGGGCTGCACAGCATGTCGGGGGCTCTGATCACTGCCCCCCTTTGGCTCGCCGATAGGCTCTGTGGACCAGGCCGGACTCATCAGAGACATGTGTATATTATACAAATCACCAGAAAAGTATTCACAGCATTTACGGTCAATAATGAAGATTCTATGAAACAAAGGACACCATTAAAAAAGCAGAAATGTTCTTTAAATATTTCAAATTTATTAACATGAACATGTAACAAAATTAACACTAACTGAATAAATAACTACACATTCAGGAACAAATAAACAACATAAAAAAACAAATGAACTTTTAACTATTTCAATTTTGACAACCCGATTGCCGTGCTTCTGCAGCTTTACCCTTAAGGGCGGGTTGGTGATGTGGGGCTCTATGGGCGCCAACAGAGCCCTGCTAATAGTAGTCATGCGGTCGACCTCCAGCAGGAGGTTCAGGATGCCAGGAGAGCCCTCGAGGTCCATCACCCCACACGCACCCACCACCTCCTCTGAGATCACCTCCTGTGGAGAGAATCATTGACATCAGATATTCTACCTCAGTCAGCACCTACCAAAACATCAAACCATTTATCTCCCTTTTTAATAATGCAAATAAACTAATCCTAGGCCGGAGCCCTTGCTTTTTAAATACACATTTACTCAAGTGTGCATACTTTTTACTGTCAATTCAAATCTATTTTATTTACATTGAATACAATCACAACATTAATTCAGCAGACTTCCCTGTATAGTTTGAAGATGTGATTGAAAGACTTTTCATGAAATGAATACAACAACAGCCAAAGTAGACCTACCTCAACGGAAGTGAAGTTGGTGCAGTTGTGTCCCAAACTGTCCCTGGTT